ACTTTCTAAGGCCTGACACTTTCTAAAGCCTGACACTTTCTAAGGCCTGACACTTTCTAAAGCCTGACACTTTCTAAGGCCTGATCCTTTCTAAGGCCTGATCCTTTCAAAGCCCTGATCCTTTCTAAAGCCTGACCCTTTCTAAGGCCTGACACTTTCTAAAGCCTGATCCTTTCAAAGGCCTGATACTTTCTACGGCCTGACGCTTTCAAAGGCCTGATCCTTTCTAAAGCCTGACCCTTTCTAAGGCCTGATCCTTTCTAAGGCATTATCCTTTCTAAGGCCTGATCCTCCTTAAACACTGATCCTTTCTAAAGCCCGATCCTTTCTAAAGCCTTACCATTACAAAGGCCTGGCCCTAATTAACACTCCTTGTCCTAAATTCTCACTTTGCAACAAATGGTCCTCAGTTTGCCGGTTAAACAACTAGAGAGCGCCTTACTCAGGAACAAACACGGGTGTCAGTTTCAGGTCAGAGTACTTTTTCTTTGCTGAATCAGAACATGGAGGAGGAGGAGGAGGAGGAGAGAAAAACAAAAGCTCCTCCCCCCAATTTGCTTTCAGTGACAATAAAGAAATAACACAATTTTCTGGTAGGGAGAATATCAAAAAATGTTCCTGGAGAAACAAACATTCCCCAAAAGGTCTCCATCTGCCTCCTGTCCATGTTGTCATGGCCGTTGTCATGGCCACTGTTACCAAGGAGTTTGCAGGCAATCGGAGAAAGGAAACCTGAGCAGCGAACCTGGACGTTGCCATCTTTAATTCATGGAGGGGGTGAGACGTGTTTAATGTGTTTATCAGCAGGTTCTGGTTGATATTTTCAGACAGAACCCCGTTAGAGCCCTCAGTGAAGCTAGCCCAACCCCCCCACCCCTCACCCCCCGAGACGTCTGTCCTTCCATCCATCAATCACATTTATCCATCCGTCCGTCCGTCTGTCCTTGCATCCAAAGGACTCTCTGACCCAGATCCGGACCGCCCTGATCTCTTATTTAAGGCTTTCGGAGAACCCGTCTGACCCATTTGGGCTGGCGTGGGGGAGGAGCAGCTCAGCATTTGAAGTGGCGTTCAGATGCCGCTCTTTGTTCATCAGGAGACACTTCAGTCTGCAGCCGGTTCTTCTCATTAGCAAAGAAACTGGAAATATTTTCTACAGGAACGCCCCATAGTTGAATTGGGACCCTGAGGCGGGTTTGAAGAGGTTATCCAGAAGGAGAGCGCAGCAGCAACCTGCTTTCACTGGATCCACTCAGAGCAACATCAGAAGCCTGGGATCAGGTTCCGTCGGTAAGTCTACACCAAACCAGGAGACTGACACTGGGGAAACCTGCAGGTCCACAGCAGACTGCGCTCAGTTCTGATCAGGTCGGCTGGGCTGATGTCCTGCAGCCTACTGCAGGTTTCTGCTCAGCTCCTCTGGGATGCATGGAGTCCAGGTCAGCAAAGATCATGAGGAGAAAGCAACTCTGATCCTGTGAGGAAAACCTGAGGACCTGAATCCCTGCATTGATATTGGGAAGAAGAATATGGCTGCCAACAGGGTCCCATTTGGACCATAGGAGGAACATCCAGAACCAGAGACCAGTTCACCCAGAGACCAGTTCACCCAGAGACCAGTTCACCCAGAGACCAGTGCAGAACCCTCTGCAGAAGATCCTGCTGTCATGGTGAACACGGGAATGCAGCTGATCAGCTTCACCTGCGCTGTGACTGGCTGGATCATGGCCATCGCCGTCACGGCGCTACCGCAGTGGAAGGTGTCCGCTTTCATCGGCAGCAACATCCTGACCTCGGAGATAAAGTGGGAGGGCATCTGGATGAACTGCATCTACCAGACCACAGGTCACATGCAGTGCAAGACCTACGACTCAATGCTGGCGCTGCCGCCAGACATCCAGGCTGCACGCGCCCTCATGTGCATTGCCATCTTCATGGGCTGGCTCTCCTGCACAGTGTCCTGCTGCGGCATGAAGTGCACCACCTGTGCCGGCGACGACCGCCGCGCCAAGGCCGGCATAGCGCTTGCAGGTGGAATCCTCTTTATCCTGACAGGCCTGTGCATCCTGATCCCCGTCTCCTGGACCGCCAACACTGTTATCCAAGACTTCCACAACCCCAATGTTCCCATCATGCACAAACGGGAGCTGGGCCAGGCCATCTACCTGGGCTGGGCAGCGGCCGTCATCCTGATGATCAGCGGCGCCGTCCTCAGCAGCACCTGCCCCTTCATGGAGAAGGGCGGCCGCTACCGCCGGGGATACATGGGCCGAAGCTTTGCTAACTCGCCTGCACCCGATCCCCCGAAGCCCATCGCCTCCAACAACCTGCCCCTGAAGGAGTACGTGTAGGACAGGAGGAGGAGCAGGAGGACTGGGAGGAGGGCTGAGAGGAGAACATGGAGGAGGAGTGGACTCCCTGCCATCAGACTGAAGTAGTAATGCAGCGGACATATTTGTGTTGAGTTGCTCAGAGTTCTTACTAGCATCCCTGACTTGTTAGCGTGTGCTGTGACGGGTCTGTGGAATAAAGAGTTGATGAAGTTTCTGTTTCCACTAAACTGTTTCTATCCAGTAGCAGATCTGAGGTCAGATGGAGGTCTTTGGTACTGATAACATATCTGCTCCCAGCCTGAACACCAGTCTTCACTGGGACTCCATGAAGAAGGACAGTCTGCAGAGTGTGTCTGGAAGGGAAAAGGAGAGATCAGACCGTCCTGTGGAAGCGCTGCTCACACAAGTACAGTACGGCAGTGGCTCCCAGCCCCGGTCCATAGAGATCTCTGTTCCTCAGGGGTCCCTGTTCCTCAGAGATCCCTGTTCCTCAGGGATCCCTGTTCCTCAGGGATCCCTGTTCCTCAGGGATCTCTGAGGAACAGGGATCCC